GAGATCTCTAGCATAGAAAAGTTTTTTTATGCATTGACTTCAAATTCAATATTCATAACAAGTCATTAATTAATTAATTCATTCATTCATTCATTCATTCATTCATTCATTCATTCATTCATTCATTCATTCATTCATTCATTCATTCATTCATTCATTCATTCATTCATTCATTCATTCATTTATACCCAGCTGCGAGCTCAGCTGTTCATAAATATAGTCAAAGCTCTAAGATCTTGTCTTCTGGATAAAAACTTCGAACGACATTTGATTTTGAAACTGAGTTTCTTTCGAGAGATGATAAAAGGTCGAAATCTACCAATTTCAACCACTTTATTAATAACAATTTCGCATATTTAATATAAAACGTCTATTGAGAGCCCTTGAGTTTTTATCCCTCGTAAAATCAATAAAAGCTTTATTTGATAAATGTAAGTATAAGCATTTTAAAATTTCAATCCATACCTCATCGTGCAAAATTTTTAAATCTGCATCATCAAAGCAAAGCTCAATCGGCAAAGGCGCAGCAACAAAGCAAGACCATGCTGGAGGTGGCTGGGTTCGATTCCCGTTTTGGTCTAGGAATTTATCGACTTCCCTGGACATAGAGTATGATTTTACTTGCCACACAATTATACTAATGCAAGAATATTTCCTTTTATGGCTTTCTCAGTCTAGGGTAATCCCAACGGTCAGTTATGCATTGCAATGCATAACTGTCCATTTGGATTACCCTAGACTGAGAAAGCCATAAAAAATAAATCTCCCTACATACCAGTCGAACAACTTATTAAATCACTAATGCAAGCATGCTACAGGCTACAGGAAGCTCTCAATTAATAACTGTGGAAGTGCATCTAAAACACTACTTTGAGAACACTTGAAACTTGAAACGCGAAGAAGAAGAAGATCATCACGACATTTTTTCAAGATAGCCGCGAGAGACCAAGTTTTTTAGGCTATTAGATTTGAGTTGCCAAATAGAAGTGGGAAGCCCACCATGGGTGAAATGCCAGTTTAGTGAATGCACTGAATGCGAATCCCATTGAAATGGAAGCAACGTACCGAATTGCGGAGGAGAAGGCAATCTTAATTAAATTCAAAACGGAAGAATTAATGCAGTTAATTTTTCATTACGCTGATGGAAAGGTGGTTTGCCTGCAATCTACCACCAGAAGTCCCGCATCGTGATCTTCCGTTGGTGCTGGGGAGAGAGGTGTTTATATGGACGTGAAGAAGGAAAATCCATTCATGCTTCCTTTGCTGAATCGGAAAGGGGACGGTATTAAGAACGAGTGTTTCTTGTGCAAGATGGAGGGACACAGAATGAGTTCCTGTCCCAAACGGAAGATAAGGAAGCAACCCCAAAAACTGCAAAACAAAAACAGGATGAAGAGAACAGTGGTAACAGTACGTTTGCTAGTGCGGTTTCAGAAGGTGCATCATTGGACATCAGCGAGAACGTAAGGTTGAGCTTCTTGAGGGGGAGGGGAAACATTTAAAATGGACGGGATGATTCCAGAGGCTAATGAAAACTGTGAAGGGAAGGCAAGCGATGTCCAAAATCATGCAATTTGAGTAAACATCTCAAAAGGGCAAAAATTTCTTAAAACTTGCGATAAGTGAATTTTAACCTATGAGTATGTCGAAAATAACAACTTTGGGCAATTTAAGCATTATGAGCTTTTTTGTTGTAAATTTAATGTGTTTTAATATTAACACTATTTTAAAGATATTCGATAACTGTAGGCGGTATTTTGAAAAAATATGCAATTTGAGTAATTTTAATTTTTTTTTTTTGATAATTTTGATTTTTTTTTTTGTAAAAAAAATATAATTTTTTACAGTGTATATTTTTTTTTGGAAGGCACAATACTTGTCCGCAACTTCTTCTAAGACACCATCTCGATCAAACAAATCGTTCACGAGATATATATTTTTCTATTGATGCGTATCATTTTTGCATAAGCCCTTTGCAAGTGTTAGTCGTGTGCAAAACTAGGGAACCATATATGTAAAATGGCATGTTGGGCAATAACAAACAACTGTGCAAAGTTTCATCATAATCGTAAAAGGCCGATCCGAAAAGGGAAGGAGGGTTTGTTAAATATTACTAAGTCTTACAACCCAACAAACATTGGAACCAGAATAGGAGCATATTCAGACGAAAATATGCTTCTTCAGCTAAAAAATGCTTATTCAGTCTTTAATCAGCACAAAAACGGAAACGGACCGTGAACTAAAAATCACGGCCAACTATCCAGAACAAAATTTTCTCAAATATACACCGAGAACTATGGTTCACGGCTGTGGTTCACGAATATGGGAACTCTTTTTTTCCCGTGTAGTGGAATTAAATGGAAATTACTAATCCTTCTCTCTCTCTCTCTCTCTCTCTTTATCAACATGATCATAAGTGGTGTGTTGTTATATGAAGGACTCGGCTGCCTTATACAACCGTTTTTGCTTACTGAGTAGAAAATCGTGGGATCAATCCCAGGTCCTTTCATATTAAATAAATTTAGAGTCACATCGCCTGCTGATCGTATGTTTTGCGAAACTTGTAACGCATTATAGTTAGCTAGTGCACAGGTAAAAGTTAAAGTGAAACTTACCCACCCTCCCTCCCCTACACTAGTAGGAGCTAGTGTGTGTGTAAGAGCGTAATTATTGTTCAGGTAATTAATTACCCCACCCTGCACCTCATACCGAAATTTAATTACGTTTTCGTCTAATAGGACCTCTTTTGTTTGGACCGGTCATCCGTCGGCATGGACTGGAAACGGTTTCCGAGCCTAATAATCAAGAGTCAAACACCATTCTCTGGACAAATGAAGGCCATAATCACCAAGGAGCAGTGCAGTAAATTCTAAAAATCAATTGAACATTTTTGATTAAAATGAGAAAAGCAGCTATCCGCTATCAAAGAAGACCTCCTTCGAATGGGTGATATCAGTTGCTTAGTCATTTTACGAAGGCATGGATCATTCTCATTTGAGAAACGCTTGATATCATTCAATTGAGTATAGCCTACACATAAATGGAGCTCGGGTCGATATTCCGGCGAAAAAGCTAAGTCAACCCGACACCAACCTGACTTCTACCAAGCCCCAACCAGACATTGACCCGACATAAAATTGATCGCGTCGACTTGTCTGTTCAAGACCATTTTGCTAGGTTTCTTCCATACTTCACTGTCGTATATCAAATGATAGTGAGTGACTCAATTGACTGTGACGATGAGCTTCGAATGAGAAAGGGGCTCTTCAAATTATGATCGTGTGAGAATTCGTTTTCACAGACTTGATTGAATGGTTGTATTGGTTCATCTTCAATCGAATGATATTAAAATTAAATGCACAGTAGTATTCACATAGAGGTAACTCTAAGACCAGAAGGTCTCGAAGAAACGTGCTCAACTTTTTGGCTCAGCTCTGGTACTCTCTTCGATCCCAAGCTAATCGATGGACCCCTCGAAACAAAGGAAAATCCACGAACCCCTCATTTTATCTGTCAAACTTTCATAGCAAATCAAAACAAACATAGTGTAGTACTAGAATTTCGAAAAGAATGGGATAAGCTTATAGATGTACTTGGGACCAATAGGCTAGTCAAGTAGTGAGTCAATTTAAAATCGTTAGTTTCCATCGGTTGGTATTAATCTCTCGGTTTGCCAAGGTGGCTATGTCATGGCCGACCGATATACGCCTATGAGAGAAGAAACTTGCCATCCCACCGTCCAGCAATGCTCGCTGGCCCGTCATCCGCTTGCTTCGCCAATCCGGCGAGAGTTCCTGCCGCACAGTAGGATAGGAGTCGCTGTGTCGGCCATCTCGATTCGCCATCAACGGCAGCGGCGGTATGTACCGGTACAAGTGAACGAGGTTAGTTTATACGACACCCATTACACGAACAACACGCACACGATACAGAAAGTGACAAATAAACGCATTTAAAAAAAAGTGAAAGTTCTTCGTTTTTGTATCGCGAAACCCTCTGATTACCCAGTAGCTAGCCGACTCTGGGTGTTCTGGAGCTTGCTCTTATCGCCTGAGTCAACCGGGCTCTGTATGTTTGATCTCCGAGTAGGTAGTTGGTGTGTACTGAGATCTTACAGTCAGTAATAAACTTGTCGTTGTCGTTGGTGCTGTGTTTGAATAGTTACAACAGCAACTCGATCATTGATGGTGTGATGTGACAGGAGGGGCTCGGTGGCCATAGAGAGATCGATAATATCATGGGTTTAATCTTACTGAAAATTTCCACAATTGTGTGTTATAGGCAATAATTCACATATTTACAAAAATGTTGCCATTTTGGATGTTGTATTTTTTTCATAATGGCTTGACATATTCCAATAAATTGAAGCACAAAACCGTCACTTTTGATCGAAATTATGAATGGGGAAAAGTAATAGAGAAAAATTATCTTTCTGGGAATTTTTATGTTGTTATCCTATTTGGCATGGAACTGGTCTGTTTCTACAAATCTCATCAGAATCAGAATTTTTCAATGGTTTCAATTCTGTCGTGTTCCTCTCTCTCCTTTTAAGTTTCGATTTTGTAGCGTTATCTACCATATTAGTAATTGAATTTTCGTTTGGATTAAAGTCGATTTTCAACTGTGAAGCAACTGAATTTTATATCTGTTGCTGTGACCAGTCCGTTTTGTTTGCTTATCTGGTTAAGATGCCATACTTAATTATGTTAAAGATAAATCGTTCAGCTCAAACCTTGGTAGGGGTAAGAGGTGGGACCATCATCATCATCATCATCATAACGTCTCTCAAAAACTGTTCACTTGGATTGTGGACAGCCTCTTTAAGTTTAAGAGAAAAAAATAAAAGATCACGAGAAATTTAACGAACTTCTCAATGTATTTAATATCTAAATTACTGAAAATTCAAGACACCTGTAATGGGGAATATCAAAAATCAAAACTAAGATTTATCCCATCCTTCCAACGACTAACTCTCATTCCGTTCTACCCCTTTCCCACAGGTGATAGTAATCTGCTTTCTATCGATCATCCCATGGCCTGGTCCGAGCGTGTTCAAGATATCCTGCTCCCGCGACAGCTCCCGAGTAGTGCGCAAGATAGTCCAATCGAAATGGCTGCCCATACTGGAGAAGTACCAGGTCAAACTGCCGCTGGAATGTCCGTTTCATCCGTTGCGCGACATCTTCGGACCGCAGCAGGTAGCCAAGAAGCAGAACCGCCCGAGCCAGTGGACCTGCGATCTGTGTGGTAAAAGTTTCTTCGAAGAGAAACACCTCGATATGCACTTTGAAAACCGTCACAAAAGCAACATCAACATGGCGGAGGACGCCGTCTGCCTGGCGGACTATTGCGACATGATGCGCTGCGAGGTGCTGATTGCCAAGGACGCAACCCTATCGTTCGGCGGCGACCCGAACATGATGTCCACCGATATCGAGGTGTGGAACGAAGCGACCGCCTACCGAACCGCACTGTCCACGGCGGGTCCGCGGGATTTGGCAAAGGTGCCAGTGAGGTATGGCGAAGGTCTTTATTGAGGCGAGGTCATAGAACCACAGACAAACAGACATAAAACTCGGTAGATGTGCATCAAACACGTATTTAACGCTCAATTTGAATATTTATTAGTTGGTCTTACCGCTGTGGAGCGCATAGTCAATTCACTAGCGTTTGACGTTTACGCACTACCGCCATCTGTTCAGCATACTGCCCATTACAGAATACTCAACAGATGGCAGTAGTGTTTTAGCGACGATGTTTTATATTGAAAAATATTCAATGTGTTATGCCTGTTTGTCTGTAATAGAACGATTGATGCTCAGCATATCTTCAACATTTCAGGAAATCTCTTCTTCCAAAAATCCTACAAACGATAAAGAATGACATCCTCAGCGAGCGGAAGCCACCGATGTCGGCGCTGAGTGCGAAGGGGTTATCCAATTGTGATGCCTCTGAGAAGCGAAAGTCTCGTGCGAGGGAGCATTCCGGCAGTGATGGTAACCTGAGTCGTTTCTTTCGGTGGCCATTGTTGCATTCATTCTTTTCAGATGATCACGGTGTGGAGATTGATGACGAAGATGACGACGATGATGAGGACGATGAGGACGAAGATGATGAGAGTGATAACGATAGTAATGCGACGGCTCAATGCGAGCAGAATCTGGTGGACTCGTCGCTACCGCCGGTCGATCGGAAACAGCAGAAGCTATCGGAAATGCAACGAATGAAGGCCAACTGCAAGACAGAGGAGTTGGATCAACTGAAGACGCGTTGTGAAATCCTCGTACGGGATTGTATCGTAGGGCTGCTGGTTCAGCTATCCTTGGAAGATTTCAAGAGTATGGAAGAAGAGATGAATCGAGCCGTGTGTTGGTACTTGACGTGCGAAAGGTACTGGGAAGATGGCCCTCTGGACCAGAGACCATTCCCATGGGGACTGGTGTTCGTTCTGGTGATGGTGTTGTCTTTGGGCGTATGTCTGTGCTACTATATTATATGGATACTGTTTGAGTAAGTATCGCAGTGGTGATAGTTGTTGTAATTATGAATTGATCACATGCTTACTGCAACTATGATCGTTTTGATAGTATTTGAACGTTTTTCTTTTCATGTTTCCTTTTCCAAAATTGGTGCATTTCTGTGTTGTGTTCTATGTGTTTGTGTTGGTGTAACTTGGTATGAAACCAACAGCGAAGACCACAGTCCGGTGGCGAGTAACCAGATAACGGCTCATACGAGCCCTATCCATGGACGACACTATTTGCAGCCACAGTCGGCTAGCATCTACCATCTGCAGGACGGTGGTCATTCGGCCACAAGTCTGAACAGTTTGGGTCAGATATCGGCAACGGCAGGCGTATCAAGTGGAACCGACTTGCAGCATACGCCGCAGATCCACGCCACACAGGTGCCATACGGGGACGAAGGTGGCTACGGGTATGCAGCCGGTAGCGGTGGAACCGCCGTCGTGACCGATGGGGCTGCCAGTGCTGGAACCACAATGGCCGGTGGCGCCGAGTTGGGCCAGAGCGAACATTACATCTATGTGACGTACCCGCCAGAACTGAAACGAAGACTACTAGAAAGGTATGGTAGTGATATCTATATGCAACTCTTGCGGAAAAATGCCTATGAGTACTATTAGTCGTTTTCTTTCGGTGTCGTGATGTGTGTGCCATCTCTGTCTCTGTTGCCCTCCTATGTAATCTATCTATCTCTTTGTAAAAAAACAGAAACTATCATTTTTACTATTTTTTTTGTAATTGACCAACTTTTATCTCCAAAGATGCTACTACCACTGAAATGCTGGCTCAGTAACGGGCAAACTCTTTAAGTAATTATAATATCAGCAACAAGATTGCAAATCATGAGGAATTTTGAAGTCTTTTATTGAATTTGTATCATCTTTTATGTTTCGTTAATTTTTGGCTGTTCACCTTATTTTCGTTCTCTTATTCGCTTGCTAATTCATTTTAAACTTGTTTTTACTAACTACTAAACTTTCCCGACAAGTTCATAGACTGTTCCAGAAATTATTCGCACTTCGAAAAAGATCGAATTTTATTATATATGCAGTGCATGTCAGAACAATTATCATTAAAAACATTGCATCTCTGTTGTTTGTAAACTGCCGCTCTTCGCATGTCCGTCCCATAGCGAAAATCAACAAACCGAGAACATCGCGTTTTAAGTTTGCTTCGTACCATTGCATAGTGGTCCAGGAACAAAAATAATAACTCCAAAATGTGCCATTTTAGGGACTTTGTGTTTTTGGCCATGTTTTTTTTATATAAAAAGCGCCATCTTTTGGTCAATAAATAGTTGTACTAAACTTGTACTAAACCGCTGCACAGTGGTCCAGAGCGGAAAAATACATGGAAATTGGGTTTTCCGCAAAATCTACTGGTTGTAGCGTTTTGATGTCTTGAAAAGAATTGTTGATAATAAAAAAGCGCATCTTTTCATTGGATCAGTCATTAGGGTGATTCAGTTTTAGGGTGACTTCAAAAATCTAACTCTTCAGGGAAATTTTTGGGAACTTTTTTTACTTCTTCAAAGTTGTAGAGGATGCAAAACCAAGCAGCTTTGTCGAAGACCTCAAATTTTTATCTCATCATCTACGCATTCTACGAACTGAAACAACTAGAAGGTTAGGGTGATTCATGAAAAAAACAGTTTTTTGACCATAACCTTTTTTGCTTTGTATTTAGAGAAAACTATCATTCTAAACACTTTTAGAACTTTAAAAAACACACATTTTGATCACCTAATTATGACGTTTGGACCACTGAATCAAAAGATATAGTCAATTTAAGGTTTGAAAGAAGTATTTTTCAAACTAATATAACTTTAAAACGCGCAAGCCAATTGCAAATCTATTGAAAGTAGTGGAAAGAAGAAATTTGGTTTTATATTTGCTGAAAAAATGGCAGAGGTATCATTTTTTAACTCGAGATATTTAAATTAAAAAATTGTCATTTTTTAAGGAAAAAAGCCATAGAACATGAATAAAAGATAGTTTTCTCTAAATACAAAGCAAAAAAGGTTATGGTCAAAAAACTGTTTTTTCATGAATCATCCTTACCTTCTAGTTGTTTCAGTTCGTAGACTGCGTAGATGATGAGATAAAAATTTGAGGTCTTCGACAAAGTTGCTTGGTTTTGCATCCTCTACAACTTTGAAGAATTAAAAAAAGTTCCCAAAAATTTCACTGAATAGTTAGATTTTTGAAGTCACCCTAAAACTGAATCACCCTAATGACTGATCCAATGAAAAGATGCGCTTTTTTATTATCAACAATTCTTTTGAAGACATCAAAACGCTACAACCAGTAAATTTTGCGAAAAACCCAATTTCCATATATTTTTCCGCTCTGGACCACTGTGCGCTGTTCAAAACGTATCTTTTTAATTATTCATTATGGAGGTTTGGTGTCTTCAACAAAAGTGTTTCTTAGTCAAAAATATGAATATCTCACAAAGACGTCACAATTTTAGCTGCCTTAGTTTTCAAGATATTTTTTTTAATTTTTACACTTAAGTATTTTTTTTTTCTGATCAAAAGTAGTAGTTTTTATATTTTTTACAGACGTATTCCAACAAAACATGGAACTTTGCCGAAAATAACATCCTGTGTTGACGCATCGTTTCAAAGATTTTGAACAAAGACCATTAAATTTGACAAATATTTCAAAATTAATATCTATATAATCGAATAAAATGGCACCATAGTATATTCAGGGCTAATAGCATTCAACACTGGATTATATATACATATAGGTATATACAGGTTGAAACTCCTTGGAGCTTCTGATTTATGGAAAATTTCGAGTAATTCAAGTTCATTTTTGAACTGATTTACTTTTCGTATATGCGTGAAGATAACGCAGTAGGCGAGTAGTCTAGCGTATAACAATGTATTTTATGAATTGGTATGATGTCAAATAATTTCTTTAAAAACAATTTAACTACCTTGTTAAACTTTGCGTACCCAAACTATTTCGCCTAAATCATAAGTTACGTAATTTCTTAATCTATATTGATGAAACAGCTTTTGATGGTTTGAAAGATTTTACGAAGGTTATCCGTAATTTTGGTCTTATCATAAAATAGTTTGGACAGTTATTGGAGTCTGTACAGTTTCTTAAAAAAATGTGCTGATCCTTTTGCGACTCTCATGTAGCAAAATTGGCAGATATTATGTACTTTGACTATGTTTAGTATTACTTCTGCGTGAAGTCAACGTTTTACATAGTTGAAGATGCTAATTTCAAATAACAGACTAAAGTGGTAATTTTTATACGATAGATGAGGAGATGAAAGTATAGAATTGATAGTTCCGTTAGAGTACGGCAGTGTGAAAATTGCATATAGAGAGTAGAAAGCGAGCAAGGACAACTTTAGGAAAGTACAATTCGGCTTGATCATCTCTCTTTACCAAACTCCTCCGTTGGAGAGCGTTGGTGAGGGGTATTCCCTCCCGCCACCACTGGCAATAAGAGATGATCGCCGACTCGCTCATGTGCCGGCGATGTGTTTGAAACAGCTCTATCGATTTTTACCGCACTCAAGTTGTTATCTGAAGGAAGGCATCCAGTCGTACCCTATCCGTGTCCCTCGAGATCGTCAAGTCGACGATGACAGGAGCACATACCGTGGTAGAGGTAACAATAGCTGCAATTTCCAAACCTACGACTGGATGCCTTCCTTCAGATAACAACTTGAGTGCGGTAAAAATGGATAGAACTGTTTCAAACACTTCGAAACCCCAAGAAGTTTGTCAATCAAATTGTGTGAAATTTTGTACTATAGGATACTAGTTTGTCCTAAAGCACTGAAAATTAAATTTCAAAAAATTGTTAACAAAAGATATTCAACGGATTTATACGGTATGATTTCTATTGTTCTAACACGCACTGTATTATTAAAGAAAAAACAAAAGTCATTAATTGTACCACATTATCATTCACCATTCTAAATATATTTGTTTGTAGGCATATTTCCTTTCTCTTCTCTCATGTCAGCGCCTACACACCTCCCCTATAACTATTGGACTTTTGTCCGCCAAGGGGCTCATATGGCATAGACAGTTAACGCACGGTATTACCAACAATCAATACGAAACTAACGATTTTAAATTGGCTCACTACTTGACTAGCCTATTGGTCCCAAGCAAACGATTAACGTACCCCATTCTAGTCAAAATTCTAGTACTACACAATGTTTGTTTTGATTCGCTATGAAAGTTTGACAGATGAAATGAGGGGTTATTATTCGTTTTTCCTATGTTTCGAGGGGTGAATCGATTAGCTTGGGACCGAAGATAGTACCAGAGCTGAGCCAAAAAGTTGAGCACGTTTCTTCGGGACCTTTTAGTCTTAGAGTTACCTCTATGGTATTACAAATCCACCATTTTGAATGGATGCATTTTAGCACAAATGTAAATGATTGCCCATAACAAACCTAACAATGCAAAGTTTCAAATCTTAGATGATCGAGCTTGATCGATTCGTGATTTGACGTGGAACTGCTCTTTATTCCTAAAGTAAATGGCTTTATGTGACTGCTTAAAATTTTAAAACAACCATATGAAGTCTTCTTCAGTGTCAGCAGGCCTTAAAACATCTTCATAAAACATGAAATGTCTTCAAAATGTCTGCAGGAAAAACTTCACAGAATTTCAAATGTTTTCAAATCTAATTCCTGGAAACCAATTTAAAAGTTTTAAAATTGATATAAATTGGAGGTGACCAAAGTGTTTATAAGAAGAATCTGAAGATATTGCGACTTTCACTATTACTTTAAATTATCATTAATACCGTTTCTAAGAAAGTTGTACAAACCATTGCAAAACTTTGTGTTTTGGCAGAAGAAACATTTTGATCGGTTTTAAGTGAAAAAGTAGTCATGCTTGGATGCTAAAAGATAGCTGATCGAGTGTTAATTCTACCAAGCAGATGAAATTGCACATAGACTCGGAACTGACAGCAGTAGAACAAAACAGGCGAGATACTTAAAGAATGTGCAAAACATTCTCATCGGGTGCAAACTCGAAAATGGTTGACTGGACGAAATGCATCAATATAAAATCAGCGCTACTGTATCTGTCGCTTGGATTCTGGTAGAGTTGCCAGTCTTCTTGATTTGATGTCTTCGCTTTAAGTCAATTTTGTTCATCTTGCTAAAAATTTAGTATTGGTTAGTATTCGGCTGCTTAATTTTATAAACGATGACATCTGATTTATTAAACCATGTGCCATTACCACCTACGTGAAATTTCAAATTATTTTCCGGGTGATTTTTTTTAAATTTCATACTTTTCCAGGTTTTTCCTGGTAGAAAAATAAATCGGTTTTCTTGGTTGACTTACCACCCTGCTAAATGAATTTACGTCACATTGTCATCTCACGGCAGTGTAGTCGAATAGGTTTGGTTACCCGATCGTTTGGACATTGGGGTCTAGTGTATACCTGCAGGTACGCTTAGTACCAATAATGGTACGCATTGTCCAGCTATTTGCCAGCCCACGTGTGGCACATCAAAACATTTCAAATTGATGCGTATGAAAAGATTCAGCGAATATCGTGCCAGTTATGAACAGAATTTAACATTGATGTAGTGTACAGTGTTTCTCAATCTATAGTGTACCACAGGCTGCCTCGGGATGTTACTGAAGTTATCCAGTACCATACCATCCAGCATGTACTAATTTGTAGTACAGGAAGCCATCCAGTACCATACCATCCAGAATGCATCATAAATCAACTATTGCATACTTCACGGCGTAAATGGAGCATTTGTGCTAAATTAACTTTTAAATCAAAATTTACAACCATTAATGATATTACATATAATTTAACCATGTATGGTGGGAAAACCAGTGACAGACCATTCCAGTTCTTCACCTAGAATATTCTAGAATATCTAAACAAGACATTTAAACATTAAGACATCTTGGCTAATTGTTTTGAAATTGTCTGATTGATTTATTTTTACTTCAAAGAGGAGTTCTTCAAGGAAATTTAAAAAATTTTCTACAAATACTTGCTGGATGGGAATACTGAGTCAAATATAATTAAAGTGATTTATTCAGAGTATTCAGTAATATCTTAAGAAGACATTTGTATACTTAAACATCATGGCTAATTGTTTTGAAATTGTTTGATTGATTTTTTTACTTCAAAGAGGAGTTCTTCAAAGAAATTTGAAAATGTTTGTACAAATACTTGATTTATGATGCATTCTGGATGGTATGGTACTGGATGGCTTCCTGTACTACAAATTAGTACATGCTGGATGGTATGGTACTGGATAACTTCAGTGACATGCCCTCGGGTGGGTCGCAGAAATTCAGAAAACCTTTTCATATGCTTTTTTAAAGTTGTGTGCAAAATTTATCTGATTTTGAAATTATGGAATACCGTATGCGTGATAATATTTGCACCATTGAGCAATGTCAAAATTTAAAAAATTCTCAAAAATTTCGTTTTTGAGTTTTTTTAACATCGAAACATACAAAAATTTACATTTTCGAAACCCGTCATTCTGAGACTGCTCTCACCTGGAACTTGTACTCCTGCCCTCAACTTTGTGTTCTTTAAGTCGTTGTTAAACAGAACTTTCTAAATCCATACCCTGTTTGCATTCGGCTGATGTAGAGCACAGTGTTTCTCAATCTATGTATCGCGACCCACCGGTGGATCGCAGGCTGCCCTCGGGTGGGTCGCAGAAATTAAGAAAACTTGGTCATGTTTTTAAAGCTGTGTGCAAAATTTATCTGATTTTGAAATTATGGAATATAGTTGCTACCTAAAACGGCTTGAATTTCGGCTCCGTAAAGTTCACTAATCTAATCTAATCTAATCTAATACAAACGCAGCCAGTGCGAGAAAGCATCCTGGGTTAGATGAGGTCTAATCATTTTTCTTAACTAATTGATGTTTACAGCATATCTGAGATATGATATAAACATCAATACGGCCAGGCCTACTGCACAGAACAGAAGGGGAAGTGCAAACAAATCGGTGAATCAAAAGTGGTTCGTTTTTCTGCTCAACAAGCGATGTGTTGTGGTAACGTTCCACACGCGGTGTCTATGTGCACTCACACTATCATAGCATGCTGCTTTCTACTGCTAGGTGCGCTAGTGTTCGCAAATGACAAGTGGAGCCACTTTCAGATCCGAAGTTCCACTCCTGTGCCTACCACAAACGAAGTGACAGACGGAGCGGCTCGAAAACTTTGGTGACTAACCTGCTATTGCAATTTTTAAGTGTACCACATGGCAACACCACTACTACTGGATTGTACCACATGGCAACACTGCTACTAGATTGAACTAGCATTTTCACCAAATGTACTAGAATATTTTGGTTCTATCTCTTTCACTCTACTCAAAACTGAAATGCATAAAAAAAATGACAAAATGATACGCACTCTTTGCACACTGTCAAAGAATCATTGTACACAAAATCAACTTTGTTCAAATCAAAACAAAAAAACTAACCCATCTGGTGGATGATGGCACAAGTTTCCAAGAAAATTCTATTACAGTGAACCACATTATTTAAATGGATTTCTTCGCCAGTTAGTCGTCTGTCACTTCGTTTGTGGTGCCTACTGCGTTGTATTTGCCGCAAAGATGATTCTTGGAAATGAATGGGAACATTTCTTGAATCTACAGGGGTGGAAGGATGCGTGGACATACCGTACCAAACGCTTCGAGTTACTATGTGTAGTTGTGTGTAATGTGTAAATATTTGTACAATATTGAAGAATCATAAAATAATGCAATGGAAGGATCTTACCGAATTTTCTAATATGTTGGTAATGATTCTTTTGCGCTTAAAAGTTTCTTTGGATGCATCCGCTCCTTGTTTATCATGGGGTTTGGGATGCAGTTATGTTTAGTCCGTCGCGTCCGGACCAGATCCTTAGCCATAATCTTGACCGCATCCATCTGATTTTCTTTGGCCAGCTTTTTGATGTCGGCGATGATCTTCTTTTCCTGCTGTTCCATTTTCATCTTCTTCCGATCCAAATCCCGCATCGCTTTATTCAGAGCCCGCTGGTTCTTGCGGATTATCTCGTCCGGAGACATTTTCTTACCGAACAGCCACTCCATTTTTCTGGTTGTTTTTCGGATCAAATAGTGGTAAAACTGGTTGAATAAAGCGGAACTTCCGTGATCTCACAAGCTTGCACAAAATTGGACTCTAATTTGTTTTTCGAATCTGACTCTACTTGTAATCGGAATACCGGTCATAAATGCACGTGGAAAAAACCTTCTCTCGGCCATAAAAAGAAAAACGATTCTTCAAAAAACTTATCGATTTTCAAAACTGGCAAATCGTCTTCAGATAAAATTTGGAAAACCGCGACGAAAACATAATATACGAGCAATTACGACCCGTAAAATTTTACTAAGACGCTTAAGTCTTACCAAATAGACGAGCTAAAAAAAAATCAAATCAAATTCAAAGAAGTCTTACTACGAATTTCAATGCCATTTTTGTGTTTAATAGGTTATGTGGACGGGTTTAAGGTTTCATCGATTTAAGGTAGCTTTTCATCTACTTCCGGTGGACGCATAATTCTCTCATGTGCTATGGAGTTTCATATACACATGGGACGATTATGCAACCAGCGGCAGTCTAGTTCTAATACACTGAGGCAAAAAATCTTAATAATTCCATAAGACATGACTCATGAACTTGGACAATTTTGATTTCTTAAGATTCTTATGGATTTCATAGGCTTGCGTCATGCATTCCATAAGCAGACTTATGAATGATTATCGTAATACATTAGGTAATACGAGTGGTTGTTACACACCATTTATCTATTATATTTCCCAAGCGTTGATAGACGTGGAAACAAATCACGAGTCAATAATCTGAACGCTCAGGATTCGAATCCGGTCTGCTACATTTTATATTACTTTATTGAAGTTTCATAAACTTACTTATGAATTCTGTTTCATAAGCCAAACTTATGATTTCCATAAGAAATCCTTTTGTCGAAATTTCATAAGTGATTATTATGGAATTCTAACGTTCCTTTGCCTTAGTGTACATCTTTGTAGTTTTAATACTATTTACTCATGCGTTTCAATGCCTTTAGATCATTTTCGTTAGAAAAATTCCATGTTGTTTTGAGGTTAAGCGCAATTTTGTCGTTTACAGCTATTTGACATGGTTCGGTATTTGTTGGGCTATTTTGGCGTTTTGACGCAATTTAAATGCCATTCTCTGTATGGGTATTAGATGATCATACAGCCTTTAAAGCCATTTTGGAAGTTTTTAAGATCATTTTGGCCTTACAACACCTGTATTTATAAACGAACTAGATGAAAAAAAAAACACTTGGATTCAATATTTGAGAGTCGCAAGCTCATAAAATTTCTCAATTTCTCTGTCCCGAAAAGTCGATGCATTTTTTGAAAGAAAAACATATTTGGAACAATCCTGTTAAGTGGTGGTAGCATCAACCAAGTCAAAAGTCATAACACAACGAATATAGGATTCATAGCAACATTTAAATCCTTTGCCCTCCATTTAGTAAAAGATCGAACGAAACCAACAATATATTTTCTCCAAATAGGTGGTAGAGATGTAGCTCTCATGCATTCCAACATTCATAATAACTTCCCCGTCCCGAAACGTCATCTTTCTCGTATTTCCGCATCGCATGGCCCTCTTCTTCCCAATCTATGTATTTAGAACCGTATAAACAACTCCTTCAATAAACACGAGGTATGTTTTTTTTTTCAACTTAATCCCTTAATAAATTTCAATAGCTCACAGATAAATTAAATAGAGACCTAGCGTGATAGACATTCATGCGTAGCTAATTGTTACTTAATGTAGATCTATTACACAATCGAGAGTGTATCATACTTCAGCCCCTCTCTCTGTAGGTAGTGTTTCCGTAAACTACTTCTTGATCGACCTCATAAATGGTATAAAGGAAGTGAATGAATACGATGACCCATTTCAAACTCATACCTTCTTACCCCTTTAATTGTAGTTGCTTATGCATTTCCAGCCAAATCTTATGTTCGCTATCCCTCATCGTGGTGTGTGTCCCACTGAGCTCCTACAACATTTGAACTAGTTAGTAAATCAAACATTTTCTTGTTTTTTTTTTCTTTTCTTGTTTCATTCGTTTTCCTTTCTTCCTTTAGCTGCTACAATAGAACGACCCGTCTATGAAATTAGATTGAATACCAATGAACTTATAAACAAACCAAACTAAGAGAAAAGACAAAGATATTAGTAAAGCAAAAATCACCCCAATTGGGGGTACACCTACACAAACTTCAAGTAGTCCAACAAAAATAAAACTTTGGAATGAATACAAAATCACTGACTAGTAGTTACCGAATTTGTACGACTAATTGTAACGAACTCAAATCACTACTACTGACATGCAAGTGTTTACACATAGAGTCTGATGGAAGAGGATAGACATTTAATGAGATGAAATCACAACGACTGTGGCTTTGAAAAAAAAAACCTTAGAATGCAATGGCTTTAACTAAGCAAAACTCTTTTGTAAGAATCATTCCGAAGGGAGAATCACCTGCATTCGTATGTTTAGCACAAATTTGTTACCCTCTTTACGATGCCTAGATCGTTTGGATATGTTAGTAGGATCACCTCAACCAAAGATATTTGAATTTTAGTTTTCAACAACTTAGATCTTTTCCTAGTTTATAGAAATCCGTTTGTTTAAACTACTCATACTTAAACTAAGACCAAGCCGAAAGGCATTTAGGTTCCCATCATCGAATACGAATAGCTAATCCAAAGCCGCGACCTTCGAATTATCTTTCTACAACTATAAAAGTACAAACCGAGCGCTACTAACGATAAAACAAAACTTAATCATGAATCTCGAAAGTCTTGCTTCAAAATTATCAAGTTACACAAACCAAACCGCGATTTGTCATAAAATTTCTACGAACGATCACTTTTTAAATGCGCCCTTTAAACTTAACGTATAGTCTAATTTCATAGCTACTAATTCGGCGATTTATTTTTCGCCGTACCAAGCTGAATACTAACAAACAAACAAAACTGATGGTTGAACCGATAGCTGTAGGAAATGGATAATCAATTTTTCAAATTTGTATCATATAGAGAAAAGAAACTTACCCGTACGTATGAGAGTAGAAAATACAGATAGTATTGGTTTTCCCTTAACCTTTATTCTTTTAAAGAAAAAAAAACTCTATTTCATTAATATGATGCAATAGTGAACCTAGTCATAGAAACCAAGTTCTAGTATTATGAAAGTTACTAAAGCAACAAAAGGAAGCGGATGTGGATTAAGTAATTCAACGCATGAATAATAAAAATTTATAAAATAGTAAGCTCATTGTTTTTTTTTCAGTATCAGATATCACCTACACTATAGAAGCGCATTTTTTGTTGATGTCCATCTGTCATGTATTGATTTTATATGCGATATGATACATATGGGTAGAAATACTTAGAGGGAGAGATGGGCGGAGAAAACAAAATTACAATTCGACAGCAGGGATTTGTACCTAAATTATCTTGCAACCCTTGCTAGAAGCTAGCATTTCACATGACTTAAGTACTCATCCCTATATAGTCGCTGTATTCATAGTCTGGCGGATGGAATTTCGATCTATCAAAAAGCGGAACCAATTCAATATATTTTAGACCAACAATTGAAAAGGTACCATCAACTTTTATAAACAAAACTTGATTATTCTTTCCTCGCCAATCGAACGCAAATTACCGGCACCATCGGATAGGGGAAACATTCTCCAACCCAAAGATGGTGTTAGTTTGCGTAGGCGAGTCTTGAGTCACAAGAAAGGGGTTTCCGAAGTTTTGTTCGCAATAGCTGATGTGCTCTTTTCTGTTGTTGGTCGTGATTTGCTCGATTGGTTCCGCTATTTCAGGCATAACATTTGATAACGGCACAAAAGCCTTTGTAAACAAACTTTCTAAGGCCCTTTACACGCGAACCAAAGTACGCGCCCACGCAAACCCACAACATCATCGGATAGGGGCAACTATCACCTTTCCGAAAGCGGTATTGGTTTGCGTGGGCGTACTTTGGTTCGCGTGTAAAGGGCCTTAGAAAATTTGTTTACAAATGCTTTTGTGCCGTTATCAAATGTTATGCCTGATTTGATAGCTCAATTGCTTCCCGAGATTCTTTTCGCCAGACTATGAATATAGCAACTTTACTCATCCCCTACACTCTAAAAAAATCCTCACGTCCGATTTACGTGAAATATCACGTAACTTATCTGTATTTAGAAATTCGCAAATGCTACGTGACGTTAGTAACTTTTACCTGCATTACACGTCGTGTCCACTAAAATGTTGGTGAAATCAACCGTATATTCACGTAAACAGATTTAGTGTCCCTAATAAAATTGTTATGGTTATTTTGCTTAACGACGTGTTCTGGGTATCTTCCAAACCATTAGTGGAAAAGTTCAATTATTTGGGTTATCGTTCGTTTATGGTTATTTTTTATTAGGGGTATTTGTGTTCGTGTGTTTGGGACTTCGATATTTCCGCGAAACGAGATTCTTGTGATTTCAGGTGGTACGCAAAAAAATCAATATGGCATCACCAAGCGTGGTGGAAGAACACCTCAAAGATTAAAAACTTCCTAGATTGCTACAAATATTGGACGGTAATTTGATTCATTTACTAATGTAATCTAATCCAATCTAATCTAATCTAATCTAATCTAATACAAACGCAGCCAGTACGAGAAAGCATCCTGGAAAACGATTAGGTTAGATGAGGTAAAATTATTTTTCTTGTCTAATTGATGTTTACAGCATATCTGAGATATGATATAAGCATCAATACGGCCAGGCCTACTGTGTTGTATTTGCAGCAAAGATGATTCTTGGATATGAATGGGAAAATTTCTTGAACCTACAGGGGTGGAAGGATGCGTGGATATACCGTACCAAACGCTCCGAGTTACTATGTGTAGTTGTGTGCAGTGGTGGCACGAGTACTGGAGTTTAACGTTTTTTCCTTAACATTTGATACTTTGCGCAATGACCATCAGGGCGTCACAATATCAGCTTCAATCGACCAAATCGATGCGACAAAGAGACTGCTGGCTTTCTTTTTCTGTTAAAGTCGATCAGCTTCGCAGCATTCTAGAACCTCAGTCGGCGTGCACAAACAAATGTTCAATCACTTGTCTCTCTTTCTCCCGTCGCTCCATTGGTCTTCCTTTCAAGCTTCGGTGAAACGGATGAGCGAAAGAGCGCTCGACTTTGATAGTTTTCTCTTTCATGAAACACATCAACAGAGGTTTCATGACGTATATGACGGAAAATGAAATTACATATTTAAAGCATTTCTCACGTGAAAACACTTGAAGATTACACGTAATATGTTTAATTTATCTTCCATCCACATGTTAATCTAAAAAAAAATTAACGAAAACGGGACATAACGCATTTTAAACAAATTGAAAGAGCGGTGATAGAGTGTTCGTGAAAGGGGATTGAAAGCCATAATGAGGTTTCGTTTAACTAGAAAATCGACGTTACTTACATTGAAAGCGATGAGCAAAGCAACGACGAGAAGATCCACAGCCAGCGTTTCCTTCTAAGCGTGCTTCTTTTTCATTATCATTTCTTGCTGATAGTCTAGCAAGGCGTTATAGAAATGAAGCGTTGAACACGTTTGTATGAGAGAAACAAAACTCGAGTTCATTTTAGAGCTTCGAAAATGTAGAGCCCTGATGACCATAGAGAAGACGCACAAACACAAACTGACTAGCGGAAAAAATGTCATGACATTTCTAAACAGTTTTCTGCAGGCGACAGAACATTTGCGCACAATGAAGCGGACAAGACCAGCGGCGCGTGTGACATACATTTATGTCATGTAGAATTTGGCTGATTTCTCTTATTACATGGAATTATAAAATAAGAACGAATACTAACCACTCATAAGCTCAGATGTTAAAATTATGCGTAAATAAGGGAGTTAATAATTTACTGTCACACGCAGGCTTGTAGCTAAAATGTAATTTCAATCAACTGTTTGAAAAATAATGGGCGGCGACATTTTTCCTATTCTCTATCTCCGCCGTTTGCTTGTAATGTAGAAATACACGACCGCCCGTGTGGTTTGCTGGCTGTTTTATTTTGCTCTGGACGATGGTTTTGCAAAAAATGTACTGTTTCCACCTCTGGTTGTGTGTAATGTGTAAATATTTGTACAATATTGAAGAATCATAAAATAATGCAATGGAAGGATCTTACTGAATTTTTTCCTATGTTGGTAATGATTCTTTTGCGCTTAAAAGTTTCGTTGGATGCATCCGCTGCTTGTTTATCATGGTGTTTGGGGTGCAGTTCCTAGTCATTGCTCGTGTTTATGTTTAGCGATGTGATGTAGATCATTTCTTTCACTAGAAACTACTACTCCAGGCTGATCCGCCAGCCTTGCATCGAGCTGGAACCGCAAGCAAGCAAATCAATTGCCTCCTCGCTCGAATCCTTCGTTGTGAGTGGTTCCGATAGATACGCGCCCATTTTGGCTTGCAGGCAGCCGCACTTAGCTGGAAAAAATTTGCACGTTCGATTTTAACCTACACTCAAAAAATAAATCACATTTCCGATGGAAAATATCCATTAGAATTTCACATAACTTTCATGTGATCTCATAATTGGGAGTTGCTCCACGAAATCACATGAACCTTATGTGTCCAATGAAGTTTATGTGATTTATCACATAGAATTCATGTAATCATATGAATGTTATGTGAATTCCAGATAAAAATCATTAATTTTGTTATAGGAAAAATATCATGTGCGATCCCAATGGAAACTATATGAAAACTTTTTTCAGTGTACTTCCACTGGATAGGGTAGAGCGCTACTTCGTCGTAATCGCCCATTTCCGATCTATCAGAAAAGATCAATAATATCAATGATTTCACCATGCACAAATCAATAATAGGTTTGTTCTGATGCGTAAGTTCATTTGCTACAAAATAAATCCAGTTAGAGCGCATTGTATGAATACTTACGCTCATTGTTCTCAAAACAAAAGAAGCGCTCCTATCGAATCCCCTTTTTCTACGTTTATTCGTAGGACGAAGAAAATCTAATGGCGTTTCAATGCGTTTGGACGGAATTGAAACTCGTAGAACGAATTTAGAATCAAGAAACAGTGTTAGATTTTAAACAATATCTCAACAATTTGTGACTCTTTATCAAATCCAACGGTACGTATGGAAAGGTGAATAAATTTAGAAGTCATTTTTGACAGAAATTTTCCATTTTTTGTTTAAACTCGTTCAGAAAATAGAGGTAAAGCGCGGGTTGTGCTTAGTAGGACGGAAATTAGATCAAAAACCCTATCACCGTTACCTCCTGGACTTATTTTGTAACTTCCGGCTTCCGGATCGTTATGCACTTGGAACTAAACCCAAATGGATACGATTCAACAGCGTACATTAGAAAATTCAGCGGTGATCTGCTTTTTCGCAACGTTTCACGGCGGTGAAGGAGGAAAAATGCCCAAGCTAAAGGATTTATTGCACTAAATTTTCAATAAACATCTCGGAAAATAAAGCAGCAGCAAAATTCGCATGTGGGTCAGCAAAACGATACGTATACTTACATCTGAGCACTTCAAGACTCTCAAGAACTCTTAAGGCCTTAGAAAATATATAAAAACTTTACACTCAAGTTTTCACATAACGTGTGTTGCCATTTTTCTTCGGTTATAAAAGATTTCATAGTTGAAATCAAATGATTTTAGCTATGGGGCTATCTCAAATGATATTCCATTCGTTTCCATACTGAATGTTTTTCATTATATCTAACATATTTATTGCTAACGAAATACATACAAAAATATGTCAATATTCATTCACCAATCAAAACAAACGTTTCCGAATAGAAAATCATCCGACTGATTTTGTCATACGGTTTTCAGAAACAATGGAGGGTGATTTGGTTCAGTGTGTGTACTGCACTGCAGCAAACGTGAAGTTCCAGTTTCATATTTGTGCTCTTGACATTTTGAGGTGGTAATGAGATTGAACAGAAATAAGGATTCCACAGCGATTCACCTTAACCTGCTGGTAAAGATGCTGTGATGTCACCACCCCCTGTCTACTACTGGTATAGCGATTCTGTGACACTACCCCGAACGGTACACTACCCCGAACGCTGTTACCCCGAATGACCATTACCCCGAATGGCCTTTACCTCGAATTCATTTCCAAAAGCTGTTTATTTTACTAATTGTCTTTTGTTGGTTAAACACTGGTACTATTATTGTAAATAGAACAAAAAGTTAAACCTATGTATTAATTAAAAACAGGGCGATT